CTTTAAGGTTTTCCAGTCTGTCAATCAATCATTTAGTGAAAGTGCTCTGGCTTAATTTAGTGTTCTATGCAGTTTCCCTTGTACACTAACTTGAACAGAGATGTCTCTCCAGCTGTAATTACAGGGTCATTTTTGTCTCTAAAAAAACTGGCTGACTTGTGGATTCACTTTATCATTTTTAGCTCTCTCTTGCTGCTTTTAAAGGACACTTTCACCAGTCAGATGAAAGACCACTGTGGAATTCAGGTGGTTCTGAGCAAGGCTGGCACCCCGGGGGGGTGCGGAAGGCGTGGAAAATGGCAGCACAGACATTGTTTGGAGGGAGGCGTCTGGGTGGAAAGATGCGTTACTTCCATACCAAACACAAGTGCACCCCTGCTTTCTACAGATGCTTGAATTCTCCCGGCGATCACATGCCATAACCCATGCAGTTTCAAAGCTCCCACTGAAGTGAAAAAAACAAAAACAAAACCCCCAAAACCCAAACCAAAACATTGCAATGTTGTAATGATAAGTAATAGAGTGGTGAGCATGTCCTTTATTGCTTTTCTTGTTTGTTACATAGTTTAAAGACTGAGAAATTAAAGATACACAAAGAGACAGAGGCAACGAGCTAAGCTGAAATAGTGGGGCAGGGGCATATGACCTTTCCGTCCCAAGGCCTTCTAGAGAAGGGAAGATACTTTTACCTGGGACTATGCACGTTCTTATAATTGGTTGAAAAAGCCTGAAATTTGTAATTATTTTAAACTACATGGGGATATATATCAGTGTGACACTTGTTTTCTTGGCAATCGCTGTAAAAGTAAATACATTTTTCCTTTCTTCCTTTTCCTTATGCTTCATTTTTTCCCCCACTAATTCTCTTTTAATGGCAAAGCCCTTACTTACTAATTAAAGACAATATTGCTGAGGGAGGTTTAGGAGTTGAGGATGTGTCTTTTTAAAAATATTAAGCCACGTGGTTATGTGAGATCTGGCTTAGCAAGAATGAGCATTAGCTTCTATATCAAGCCTTCAGAAGACTGCTGATTTCCCCAGAAGTCACCCTGAGAACAGTTTCCCTTTATTTTTTCTGGAATAGAGCTGCCACTTCTAATATGGCCATTTAATCACTGGAGTAACAATCTGTCCGAGTGCAAGTAAGCACGGCATCCTCATAATCTTGTGTGTGTGTGTGTGTGTGTGTGTGTGCGTGTTGGCAGGTGCAGGGAAGAAAGCATACTGACGTTTCCCGAAATGCTTGTATTCAGATAGGTCATCAGACTCCTGTCACATATTCCAACCCAGCAATCTCAGCCGAGCACTGAGCAGAAGTCCCCTCTTCTTCAACTGAGTCTCTGGCCAGCATCTCTAGCTGTTGTCATTTGCTTGGTCAGCTTTCTGTTAAGGTGGTCTGGGGCGGGGGGAGCTTCCCTTTACGGCTCATCGCCCATCTCCCTGTTACGGAGGAGTTTAAGAGCTGTGAGCGTCGGTGGGGAGTTTGCCAACTTTCTCCCTGCCCAGGAAGGGATGTACATTAATATTATCAAATGTCTCATCAGTGAGGCAGCTGTGTTTTGCTGAAAGGCTTCCAAACCACCTGATTCATGTCTTTCCTAGAAAATAAATTATAATGGCCCCTGTCAGGTGGCACCTGTTAGAAGCCTTACAAAGCATTTTCCCTGACTATGAATCAGTGCGTGCCTCTTTTTATAATCTTCTGGGCAAGGCTTTAGGATATTCTGCCACAACTGCCAAATTGATAAACAGCCCTATGCCTTGGTCTGTGCACATGTACTGTGGCTTCCTGATCGGTCACTGCTGGCCTCAGCTTAGGTCCTGGGAGAATGCACAGGTACCATCCATCTCATCTCCAGCTTCAATGCTTCAGGGACTAGTCGGGTTCAGAAGGCAGCTGGACCCAGCACAGGCATTTCCGGATGCAATTTAGAAGGTTCTGTTTGGGCATTCCTGGTTTGAGCCAGGTTGCTCTCCTGTGCAGAGGCTGCCTAGGGCGACGGGAGGTGATGGCAAGCAAGACCTGCTTGGTTTGCCGTGGCTGACTGGAACCCTCTGGGCACGGCTTGTTTTAGATTGAAAAGCAAGAAGGTGGTTCTAGAATTTTTGATATTTATACACCCTGCTGCAAGAAAGCAAAGAATATCTGCGGTCTAAGCTTTTCTGTTGTGTATTCTTTGCCTGTACGTCAGCACTGGGGCTATGGCTGGCCATTTCCATAGGCTGTAACTCCCCTCTTGGTGTGGTAAAGTATATAGGATGGGGGCCTACTGTGTAGGTTTGTACGTACATGTGCCCAGAACAAACTTTACGAGGTCAGGAAGAGATGTTCCCTTGGGCTGGTGGTGTGGGTGACTTTTCTTTTCCTTCATTATGACAGACTTGATGTGCCCTGCTTTTGAATCCTGAAGGTGACAGGTCAAAGGGTGATGATGTAAGCGGGTGTACATACAGATCCGCTATAAGGATATATTTATATATGTATACACACAGGCATGCAGGGAAAGCGCTAGAGATGACCTGCTCAGGAAAGTTCTTTCTTACAATTGTTAATGATTTGAATGCTTTTCAAGATCCACTGTTGCATTCTATACACTGCTCTCTGGACTTGGCCTAGCTCAACACATGACCTCATAGACACATCCCGAGGACAGCAGTGGCAGGGGAAGGGGCCTGCATACCAGCCAGCCAGGGAACACAGCTGTTGTACATCATGCTTAGTGCTCCTCACAGGGGCGGGAATGGGCTCCTAAATCCTGTCTCCTCAAGTGCAACTTTTCATTAACAAGCACAGCATTTCGTGTGATGTGGAGCTCCTAAGGCAAGTAAAATGCTCCGTGGCCACTGGGCTGGGTCTTCACCGTAAGCTGGGAACGACTGGAGGGAGTGCGGGGGCGGGGAAGCATCAGCAAGTGCTGGGACAAGAACGGGGCTACAGTGGGCCTCCCTCATCCTTTTTGGTTTCACGTAGTTTATCTGCAGCTGCGTTAAAGTCACCTATTCAAACCTTCCTTCAAGTAACAGACCAGCCAATAACACATACTCACGCAGTAACCCAGTTTGCTCCCCTTTGAGTAAAGCGCGGGGAAAACCACCCGAGGTTTTGACCAAAAGTTCACTTACCCATTCTCTTTCCCTCTAAGGAAGTAGCACAGATTCTTGCCTCAATACAACACCCTGCCCTTGATGAAGATGCGCGTTTTTCTCACACAAGTGACCACCCGACTTCGCAAAGCGGGAGAGACTCGAAGGCCCGCCTCCTGCGGGGCGGCCATCTTGCTTTCTTGCTCTCCCAGGGAGCCTCCACTCAGAAGCGCCTTCCGCTGGCGGGTGCTGCGCACTTCCTGGTACTGCCACGCTCTGTGGACGGAGCTGGGGTTTTCTGGAAGGAGTACTGGGCTTGATCTGGGGCTGTCAGGTCTCCCTTCCTCTCTATTTAATTGTGAGTTGCGCCTCCTGTCTCCCCACGTTAGGAGGTACGTGCCCACAACCCAATCACAGGAGGCATCAGGGATACAATAGACTGGAGACATCTCGTATAGTTCCCCATAGGTGGCGTGTGCCGCCTTAGATGGAAGATGGGTGCAGAATAATGGGCCATCCTCTGTTTACTTTTGCAACTGACTGGAAGGAAAGTGTGACTTGGGTGAATGAAAAACTATTTTTTTCCATCAATTTAGTTTGTCTTCTCCACCCCCCTCCACCCCCCATGGTTTTATTTTCTATGGACATAGACCTGAGAAATCATACAAGGTGTCAAGCAGAATTTGGGGGAATGAATGAAATGAAAATGTCACATGAGTGTGGAGCAAAATCAGGAGGTCAAAACCTTGGAGTTACTGGCTTGGGGCCAGCGTGAAGAAGTCTTCAGTGGACTCAACGCTCGAAAGAGTCCCACATGGGGTCCTGATGGAAGGAGAGACACAGATTTTGCACAGGCTTTAACCAAATCCTGGTCCTGGTACCACCTGTGGAGGACTCAGAAACCTTCCCGAGTGCGCTGAGTGTAGAAATGCCTTTCCAAACATCTCTAAGCTGCCTCAATCCAAGCAGTATTGATCAGAATCAGTTTAGTTCTATTGGTGGAATAATGATTTCTATAGGCACTGAAGCCCTTTATGAACCACATTGGAAGATGCTTTAAAGAACTACGCCCTTATGTTCCCATTAGGTGGCAAGTTCCACTGAGCCCCTCTACTGGATGATACTACTTATTACATATTGCAGGCTCTCTTGGCAGGCATTTTGATTATATGTGAGCCCTTAGCATCAAAATACGCCTAAATGACAATCACAGCTAGACTTGCCCCCCTTTTTTGGGATGATAATGGGACATGCATTAGAACAATATAGGTTCAGTTTCTATAGTCTTGTTGTCCTAGAAGAGCACTAATTTGGTTTGCAGTTATATTTTCTACTTGCATGCTGGGGCAATATATAAAAAAAATCCAAAAAATTCCAACCCTGGTCACCTCTCCCCTGTCCCCCAAAGCAATATCCACCCAGTCTGGGTTTTACCTCTGTCTGTCCCACATAACCCCATGGGGTTTGGTCAGTGTGCCCCAGTGGGGGTGGGCAGATAGTCTTCACTGTTTGGCTGGTGGGAATGTTTTGGAGGTCTCAGCTTAGGGTCCCTACAGACCCTCTCCACCAAGCCCTCCCTCCTGCAACATATTTCTCTAAAATGCCCACCTTACCAGGCAGGATCCCAATAAGTCCAAGGTAGGCTGAAGGTCACAGCAATGATTCTATTAGTTTACCTCTTGCACTTAAGAGGTAAAGCTCAGACTGAAGGTTGATGCCCCTCTTCAAATAGGTGCTATAAATATACTAGAGCTATCCCTGAAAAGATGCATTTGTATTTATATATATATATGTGTGTGTGTGTGTGTGATGATTTTATATATATATATATATAAAATTTTTCTTTGTGTTTGTATACAGGTATGTATTACTCTATAGGTATGAAAGGAGAGGTATAATACAGGAACAGGCAGGGGTGTGTTCATGTGCATCTATTTATAATTTGTATATTTTGTATGTATACCTAGAGAGAGCCTCTGTCATTGTTTGCATCATTACAATGAATGTACCTCCGACCAGCGAGGAGTACCTGTTAGGGATGAATGGAGAGAAGCCCCAAATGGACGGTTCTTGCATGGTCTCTTGCATGAAGTGGTTTCAGTAGGCAAGGTTGGCAGCAGCTTGTGAAATGAGTGGGCCCAGTGTAAATCCATCCATCCTCAAATCCGCCAAGGAGGGACACTTTGAAATGCCCATGGCTGTGTGCTAGCTGCCTCTTCTGGAGCGGTCAAGGAGCGTAGAACCCAGGGCGGGGAGGGACCATCCATGCTGTTAGTTCAAGCTATGGCTTTTCCTACTAGATGGAGACAGGGCACACAAGAATCCTGTCTTCTAGGAGGACACTGACCACCAGGAACACAAAGTAGAGGCCGAACATGATGAAGCCCAGCACTTTGTTCATCCGCCATTTGCAGAGTGCAATAGAGAGAATGACGAAGAGCAGCATGATGAACAGGAGGACGATGGCACAGAAAAGGCCATTGCTGCTGACAGCCACTGGTTGGAACCTGTGAATGATGGTGTACAGGAGCCAGGGCAGTGGGAGCCTGTGAAGGATAGATGGGGGGGCAGTCAGACATGCTGAAGAAGGCTTATGGTATAACCTCAGCTTCTTGGAATCTATAATCTGAGGAGGGTGTCTGGTTGGGTTCACTAGGACTTGTGTGAGGTCAGCCCAGGAAATCACATAAGGAAGTCAGGTGAACTTCAAAAACCTTTATCTATTTCCCGACTGAATTAAGGAGAAGAGAGAATTTGTTCTGTGGTTGAGTAAGATCAAAGCTGTGACCACTGCAGGTGATTTTATTTATTTATTTTTTAATTTTTAATTTTTTAAATTTATTTGAAGTTTGATTTATTTTAGAGAGACAGCGAGTGGGGGGGGGCGGTGGGGCAGAGGCAGAGGGAGAGAGAGAGTCTTAAGCAGACTATGCATTGAGCGATGAGCCTTCCATGGGGCTCGGTCTCATGACTCTGAGATCACGACCTGAGCTGAAACCAAGAGTCCCATGCTTAACCCACTGTGCCACTCAGGTGCCTCTATTTATTTATTTTTAGAGAAAGATAGCATAAGTCGGGGAAGGGGCAGAGTGGGAGAGAGAGGGAGAGGGAGTCTCAAGCTCGGAGCCCAGCATAGGGCTTGATCCCATGACCCTGAGATCATGACTTGAGCCAAAACCAAGAGTCAGAGGCTTATCTGACTGAGTCACCCTCTCACTCCAAAAGACTAGTATGACCTGTGCAGGTGATTTCTGAATGTGATTTGAAATAGTGTTTCTTTCTTACCCTAAAAAGGTGAACTGGAAGATCTGTACAGGATAGGAGAAGGAGCAGGCAAATGGAGAAAAGGCATAGAAATCAGTGGTGAAAATGGCAACATTATTTTTAGGAATGGAGACAAGGAATAGCAATGACTTAATTAACAGTCTACCAGCCAGTGAAAATATATGATACCTGATACAATATAGCTGTCTGAGATTTATTTTGGAAAAGATGGGACAACCTTTTGACTAAAAATTGGTCTTCCTGAAAAATTTGAGGACGACAGTATCTTACATTTGTGATGTGATTTTTAAAAACCTTATTATGTATTTTTATACCTGTTCTCTCCCTTTGAATTTGACTTTTAAAAAACCTGGTAACATCTTTTGTTTCCTATCCAGAGTGGCGACCCTGGACGACATCAGAAAAGCTAACAGTCAGGTGCATCCTGGGAGTGAGTTAGGACTCTGAGCTAGAGGAAAATGGCCGACAACACGTGACCCACGTGGCCTGTGCCATCTCCAAGTGGCTGGGTGAGACACAGTTCTATCCACTGAGCCTAATGATGGAATGCTGGCTGGGGAAACATGGACCCAGCTGCCCAGCTGGATGAGGCTTCTTCAGGGTCTTAGCCTTTGGCTAAGGGAGATTCAGTTCTGGCCTGACCTCGGAGAAATGGAAGAAGAGGTGCTCTTTTGAAGCACAGAGTTTTCCAAAGGAAAAGCAAATAGCTTGAGAGAAATAATGAAGTCAAAGGGGTAGTGAGTTTACACATCTGGTCTCCTCTGCTGGAGGGAACAGGTGAAGGCAGAGCCCATGAGTTAAGCATCTTTGAATACCCAGGGCTTGGCACATGCAGGCCCCATCTGGGTACATATTTAACCTGGGCAAAGCTGAAGTAATTGATGCAATTGCCTCATGACAATCAATACAGCTGTTTTGCTCACTAGAGCCTGGCTGGGAGGCGCTGATTTCCTGCACCATGTCAGGAGCAGAGGGGTTGCACAGGCCAGCTCTGGGCACAAGGTGCAATTCCAGCTCTCAGCAGGAGGGGGCAGCCCTGGCATCCTGCCATCAGTAATGGAAAGTCAGGAAAAGAGGGAGCGGGGGTGTGTGTGTGTGTTGGGGTGGAGTGCTTGAGAGGAGATGGTTCAAACATGAAAACCTCCACTAGGGACTTGTCCTGGGGAGCTCTTCTTCCATACTTCCCATCTCTTAGGAAGAAAAAGACCGAAACCATTGTACTCCTATTAAGCTAGATGTACATGTGCCCACATACACATCGAATTCTGGTGAAACTGTGCTTGATGGCACTACAAATAGGTAAGAACCCTTTGTAGGAAAAATTACATTTTTTCATGCCTTTAGATCTATCAATTCTATTGTCAGGGATCAACATAAGAAATATTTGAAATGTTGGGGTGCCTGGGTGGCTCAGCGGAATAAGTGTCTGACTCTTGATTTCGGCTGGGGTCATGATCTCAGGGTTGTAAGATCGAGCCCCAGGTCCAGCTCCGCTCTGTATGTGGAGCCTGCTTGGGATTGCCTCTCTCTCTCCCCCTCTTCCTCTGCCTCTCCCCTGCTCACGCTCACTCACTTTCTTTCTCTCTCTCTCAAATAAAATAAATAAATAAAAATATATATTTGATATATATAAAATACTTGCAAATATAACTTTATTCAGAAAAATGATCATTTCAGTATTACTTTGAGTAGTGAAAAATTGGGGATACCTTAATCTCTATAAGAAAAAACTGGTTAAGTAGCAAACTACTAAGTCGAGATAATGTTATGTAGCCATTAAAAATCATAAGCTTATAATGATATAGGCAAATACTCATGGTGTAATCCTGTAGTTGAAATGAAGGATGAACATAAAAATAGCAATGTAATTTCAATAATATAAACCATATGAACTAAAACAGGGTGGCGGATTATCATTGATTTTTATTTATGCTTTATATGTATTTTCTAAATCTTTTACCATGAGTATGTATTGATATTATAAGCAAAAGGAAAAAGCCAGCAAGACTATGAAATAGCTTTTATACTCAATATATTGCTAACAACTTCATCAATTGGTATAAACTCTTTTTGAAAAGTATACATCAAAAGCCATTAAAATGCTCATAATCTTTAATAAGTCTTGAAGGAATTTATCCTAATAAAAATAATTAAAAGATGAGGTCTTTCTGCATAAAGGTCTTCATCAAAGTACCCATAACTGCCAAAAATTGGAAAAAGTAAAAAAACAAATTGTGGCTCAACTGAAAAGCAACAGGATGAAATATTTTGAAGTGATAAACTGTTAATTATGAGAACTAAAGAAACTTAGAAAAATAGTTGATTTACTAACTAATAGATGTCTACATTGTGCCAGGCATAAATGGCTTTAAAATGGAAAAATAAAAGCCCTCCAAAAGGACAAAACTGAATATTCACGAAGAAAACTTTGTGAAATATTTGGAAGATAACACACAAAAATTAAATGTTGCTTTGGGTAGTAGGGTTAAGGGTTATTTTTCTTTACATTTTCATTTAACCTGTGACTATATATATAATTTAAGAACAGTGAACAAAAAGCATCTTGCAATTCCCTAGAATATTTATTTTTTCAAAAACATGACAAGTAGGTGTTATAATTTTTCCCAACTTGTAGGATTTTCTCTCTTTATACTATAGCACATTTTATTTTCCTTTTTTACAGGAGACTGACCACAAAAACTACTCTAAATGTGTAAGCAGTGCAACTGAGAAATACTGTTTCCGCTAGAGACACCCTTCCTTTCAAACAGGTACCCTTTAAGGCAGTCATTCATACATTCATTCATTCAGTCTGCAAACATTTGTCAAAGCACCACCATGCATTAGGCATTGTACAAGGCTTTGGGGAGCTGCTTTTGAGCACTTACTAGTTTTGTGAACTCTGTGCCCTTCTGTTTCCTTACCTGAAAAGTGGGGATCATAATACATATGTCATAGGATCATTGTATGGCTTAAATGGATAAAAATGTACATATAGTACACAAAGTAGACACTGAATGAGAAAACATTAGGTAATGCAAAGGTATAAGAGAGACTAATATTCAGGATGTTCAATGCGGAAGTCGATCCATTTTAGTGAGTTTCTAAATTCAAGTGTCAAGAGCTCAGTTCTGGGAACATAGGATCACATCCCATGTTTTCCTTTCTCAGGGGTTCTCATTCAGGGTTATTTATCAGACACTTTTACTTCTGACAAGTTAAATGCAATGACAGAAATAATAGCATCCCACCTCAGTCTGATCCACTTTAGAGATTATTCATATTGAGAACTCCAGTTTGCTTAACTGTAAGAATAGATCTTGTCTTCTGACTTTCAAAAAACCTAGAATATCTTTACCAGCATACATAAATGATAATGCCAAACCTACTAGCCTTTTCCAAGGAAGGAGATGGGATATTTTTGCTGGGCCTATGTTTGTTCCAATCTGTTTTATGATCCAAAATCTCACCCAAGGCTGGTGGGGACTTTAATTAGAATTAGAATATGGAAAAAAAAACCACAGGAAAACTGTACAGCATCTCCATCATACCTGAATACTGAATATTCTTAACTTGTAGCCAATGCCATTATATAAGCAAAATTCTTAAAGTGTTTCCTACAATAGCCACTGCGTATGCAGGTGTGTGTTTCTGCCTACCTAGCGGTAGCTTATTTTTCATTAAGTTCTCTGAAAATGAAAAATGGAGTCAGTGAACTTGAATGGCCCTCCCAGTGTTTACTTTCTATTGGTATTGGTTAATTTTGGGCTCAGAGATCATGGTCATGTCTTCACAGACTCTCAGAACTCAAAGATAGTGATAGAGCTGGTGTGTGCACCTTCACAGAACTATCTCTACTCACCCTACGGTGATGTCAAAAATGTTGCTTCCAACGGAGCTGGACACAGCCATGTCCCCGAGCCCTTTCCGGGCCACTATGACACTGGTGATAAGATCAGGGATGGAGGTCCCAGCAGCCAAGATGGTCAGACCCATAATCTCTTCACTAATGCCAATTGTCTCTCCAACCTAAAAGGAATGACAGGGACACATAGGAGTTTCTGAAGTCACAAACCCAACAAACCCACAAACATTTCCATGTAACTCCCTTTCTTTGAAAAAAGATTTATTTATTTATTTGAGAGAGAGAGAAAGCAAGAGCGCATGCCTAAGTGGGAAGGGCAGGGAGAGGGAGAGATCAGGAATATTCACGTGAGGATTAAACAGACAATTTCAGGAAAGAGCTATAGGGGGATTGAATGCAGTCTCTATATGATGTCTGTTAAGACTGAGCAAGGGAGTTCTAAAAGCCAACTGGCCATTGGCTCCAGGGGCCAGTGCCTGACAATGGTGTCAAATCCTGTCCCAGATTTGCCTTTGGATCATTAACAGTTGAACGTTAAGGACGGACACCGAGCGTTCCCATTTTTTCTTTGACATCTCCTAGTGTCTGTAACCCACTCTTAAACACTTTTAGACTACTGTTTCCATTGGAAACTTGATTTGGGTGTTTTGGGGTTTGGTAATACATGACTGTCAATCAGCAAGGCAGCTGTGGAGAAACCAGCAAATTAGGGAATCACAAGTCCAAGGCGTGGCTCTGGCATTTATTAAGAACTTGACCTATTGTTAAGTTAACCAATCGTGTACTGTCCTTGATCCTTGCTTTCTTATCCTTATAGTGGGGATGATAATACCTACTTTACAAGGTGGCTGGGAGGACTAAGAAGACCATTTGTGGAAAAATCCTTTGCAAATAGTACAACATTAGTGAAAAGCAATGGGGGATGGTTATCATGTTTTATTTTGGTCTTTGCCTTTTCACCCTGATGAAATCTATTTTGGACAGTTGGTCTAGCCTCGGATGGAGGCTTCTCCATTCTCTTGAGCAACTTTTCTAAGAGTCTTCTTGGGACTTTTAAAAGCTTTATGTATTTTCTGGAGCTGGCAAACTGCAGTTCTGAAAACTTTTAAGATAATGATTTCAGTTTAGTTTTCAACAGCCTACTCGATGACATTCATCATTTTTGAAAAAAAAAAAAAAAAACTCAAAGGGCCAGAGTAGCATGTAAGAATAAGGGTTTTTAGGGAATAGAATAAACTCGTTTTTATTTATTTATTTTTTTAAATACCCGATTTATTTATTGGACAGAGAGATAGAGAGCACAAGTAGGCAGAGTGGCAGGCGGAGGGAGAGGGAGAAGCAGGCTCCCCGCTGAGCAGGGAGCCGAACGTGGGGCTCGATCCCAGGACCCCGGGATCATGACCTGAGCCGAAGGCAGCTGCTCAACAGACTGAGCCACCCAGGTGCCCCAATAAACTCGTTTTTAAATACCTTTCGTGATTTATAAGTAATAGCTTGGTTTACACTAACTTAAAATCATAGCTGGGAGCTATTTTTGTTTTGATGGTCAGGTCCACTCTAGAGCCTGGCTAGCTAAACTAGTTTACCCTGTCCTCATGGAGCAAAGATTCACTGTTCCCCATCAGAAAGGAAGTCTACGGGGGAGTGTGGTGGGTGGCTCAGTCGGTTAAGCGTCTGCCTTCGGCTCAGGTCATGATCCCGGGGTCCTGGGATCCAGCCCCGTGTTGGGCTCCCTGCTCCGTGAAGAGTCTGCTTCTCCCTCTCCCTCCCCCCTCCGCCCATCCCCTCTCCTGCTCTCTTGCTTACTCTCTCTCGTCTCTCAAATAAATGAAATCTTAAAAAAAAAAAAAAAAGAAAGGAAGTCCATGTGAGCAGAATCACTGCTCTGATCTCTATGGTCTCCCTAATACACAGAATATAGCCCAGTATTTAGTAGACTCTCAATACCTATTTGCTGAATAAATCAGTCAATCTACATACTTAGGTGATTTTACTAGCATGTTTTCCACTGATTCTCCTAGAAAAACTTAAATAAGGGTGCTGTGCAGGAGTGCCCTATTTGAGTAGAATCTCCTTGATGACCTATTTTTTTGGGTAAGATTTGTAATGAAACATTTTCAGAGACTGAAGATGCTGACTGAATGACTGTCATCCCCAATAAATAGGCTGATTCTTCGAGGGAGTTCTACAGCAGTGACTACTTTAAAACAACACTTATATTTAGAGTTCGAATGGCTCTTTAGACAGAAAAAGAGCAAAAATTGAAGAAGGGTGGTTTGGTGGTGTGGTTAAGAGGGACGGCTTGGATACAGGGAGACCTGGGTGCTAATATGCACCTGCTGTTCCCAGTATGTGGAAGCTAACATCCCTGAGCCTCAGTGTTCCTCATTTGTAGAATGGGGATAATAATATCCACCCTCAGAGCTGTTGTGATGATTATATGTGATGATGAGACAGAGCAAATAGCACAGTGTCAGGTATAAATATTCAATAAATATCAGCTCTGCTAACTCAGACCCTACTCCTTTCTCTCTCCAGCTTATCAGACTGCAGCCACTGGGCTCTGGCAGCAGAGACCGAAGCTGGTGAATAGGTGTCAGTCTCTGATGTGGGAGATCACCAGGATAATGAAGGCTTTTTATTGTACATCCAACTCCTGATGAATCTGTGCAGCTCCTAGAAACACTTGCGCTAATTGAGAACTAGTCTTCCTAAGTTCATTTTAAGACCATTTCACTGCATTTGGCTTTCCATGAGTTAGAGGCAAGATGACAGGCACAGGGATGGGACAGCGCTTATCAAATTGGCAGCATGAGAGTCAGAGTTAGAAAGGACATCAGCCGTCTCTTGGAGGGGAGGAATGCCTTTGTTTTCTAAAGCAAGTAGATGGTGGGGTGACTCAGAATCCAAATCCAGTGCTGCTCCGAGTATCTCGGGCTGCGGTTCCTTGCCTTGGTTTAAGGAGGAACTGCAAAAATGTCATATTGGCGAAATGAGACACAAGGTTGTATCTGACTCTTAGAATTAACATCTCCTATTCGATGCAGGATGGATTTTAACCATATGTTCTCATCACCCAAGGAATTTACTAATTTCATGATGCAAAAACAATAAAAGGTAACAAAAACTATAGGAAAGTCTGCATAAAGCATTTTATGGAAAGGGCATTTATTTTTGGCCGAACAGTAGCTAAATAATGATATTAAATAGCATTTCTTGTTGGTAAGACTGTGGATAACAAAACAGTTGAGCACTAAATGGTGCATTTGTTATCTTTCTGGCTTTTTATAGCTCAAAAGTACAAGCAACAGAATTAGAGCTAGACTTCTTAGAACAGAATCTGCTATTTTGATCAGCTGTCTGGATGTCTTAAAAGAGAAGAGCATTTCTATAGGAGAAAAGAAGGGGAAGCTTCTCATTCATTACTAGAAAGTAAGGTTTCTCTTTATGCACTTTATGTTCCTGGGCCTTTTGGCAATTAATATTGTTCTAGGCATTGTGTTTGCATTTTTCTACAAGAGAATGAAAAGGAAGCAAGAGTATGGAATTAAGATAATCATGAAAAAGGACAGAAAAAGATGGAAATCTATAGGATGATGTTTTCTAGAATGGCTAAAGAGAGATATCTAGAAAACAAGTGAGAAAAAAAACCCACCACTTTTTTTCTTTATCAGTATATGAAAGAATAAAAATAATAATTATTTTTTTTAAGAATAAAAACAATTATTAAGAAAAACCATTACTTGTTATAAATGGCAAACAGTCCTTCTAGCCTGGCAATCTGGAGACTGAGAAGCAGCTCATCTTCTGCAATAATTTCTGGGTGGTATTGGTAGCAAATGACTTTCAATGAATGTGGAAAATCATGACTTTGGGGCAAGCAGAACTTCTTCAGGGGGGGTCAACAATTTTTTGGAAATATCCAGGAAGAATAATCTGAAGTCAAACATCATAAAATAACTAGGATAGGAATAATATAAAGTATCTTGTAGGAATAATACTGGGTATACCAACTGACATTTCCAGTGGATTTTTTTCAATGATGTTATATGTTCTTTTTCTTTAAAAAAAATTAAGGTGTAATTTACATACAGCAAAGTATAATTTTACATCCAGTAAAACTCACCCTTTAAAAAAGTGCATAGTTCTGTGAGTTTAGGTAAATGCATGCTGTCCTGTTTCTCCACATCCTTATCAACATGTCTGGGTTTTTGAATATAGGCATCCTAGTGGTTGTGAAGTAGTATCTCATGTTTATTTTATTTTATTTCTTGAGACAGAGAGAGAGAGTACGTGTATGCGAGTGGGTGGGGGGAGGAGCAGAGGGAGAAGAGAATCTCAAGGGGGCTCCCCACCCAGTGCAGAGCCTGACATGGGGCTCCAACTCACGACCCCGAGACCGAACTGAAATCAAGAGTTGGACGCTTAGCCAACTGAGCCACCCAGGTGCTCCTTATGTTTATTTTTAAACAACTCTCTCTCGAGATACAATTCACATACCACAAAACTCACTTACTTAAACTGTATATATAATTCAATATTTTAGCATATTTATAGATTTAGAGAGCTATCACCATAATTTAAATTTAGAGCTTTTTCATCTTCCCAGGAAAAAACCCTGTACCCATTAGCAGTTCCTCCCTATTCCCTTCAACCTCCCCAACCCTAGGCAACCATTAACTTTCTGTCTCCCTATTTTTCACATTTCATATCAATGGAATCATTCCAAATATGATCTTTTGTGACTGTCTTTTTCATTTAGAATAATATTTTAAAGGTTCATTCACATGGAGCATGTACCAATACTTTGGTCCTTTTTATTGTGGAATAGTATTCCGTTGTATGGATAGACCACATTTTGTGTATCTGTTCAACAGTTGATGGACATTTGAGTTGTTTCCACTTTTTGTGAACATGTGTGTATAAATTTTTGTGTGGATGTTTTCATTTCTCAGGTAGTGGAATCACTGGCTCATTCCACAGGTAGTGGAATCACTGGGTCATATGGTAATAACTCTATGCTTAACATTTTGTGGACTGCCGAACTGTTTTCTAAAGTGGCTGCATTATTTTATATTCTTACTGTCAATATATAAACAATTTCTATACATCCTCTCCAACACTTGTTATTGCCTGTCTCTTTGATTATATCCATCCTAAATGAGAGCCAAGTGGTACCTCATCATGGTGTTGATTTGCATTTCTCTAGTGAATAATGATGCTGAGCATCTTTTCTTGTGGGGGGGGTATTATCTGTTTGCATATCTTTGCTGAAATATCTATTCATATCTTTTATCCATCTTAAACATTAGGATGCCCATAGATGCTTGCCTATTATTATTATTTTTTTTTTTTGAGTAGGCTTCACACCCAACGTGGGGCTTGAACTCATGACGTTGAGATGAAGAGTCGCATGCTCTGCCCACTGAGTGAGTCTGGTGCCCCCTGCCTTTCTATTACTGAGCTTTAGGAGGTGTTGATGTATCTTTCAGGATTATATTAAACAAAGAATACAAGTGGGAAGTTTGAAATTTGTGTAGTTTATAATGGAGGATAAAAACATGGGTTCTGGAGTTTCAGAGCCCTGGGTTACAATCTCAGTTCTGTTATTTAAACCTATATGATCCTGAGCAATTTTATTATTATCTCTAAGCCTAACTCCTTTATCTGTAAGTATGAGTAATAATGGCGCCTCCTTCATGGGGTCTGTGCCTATGTAGAAGGTGACTGTCAAGGTCATGAGGATGAAGTGATGTGAGTTATCCGGCATCTGGTACCTATTCAATCAATAATGGTTACGACCATTATCTCTGAGAATGTGAAATGTTTGCATTTCATTCTTTCATCCATGTGTTACAACAAACAACTCCTGAGAGTTTATTCTTGTGATGGCCACTAGGACTGGCCCTGAGTTAAAAGTGTTGGAGTAATGTGGGTACACAGTAAAAGGGTTATCTTTGTATTATTTCTAAGAACTGCATATGAATGTACATTTATCTTAAAATTACAAGTTTAATTAAAAAAAAAAAGTGGTAACAGCAAAATACATCATCATTCTAGCAAACTGCAGTTCAAGGAAGAAACTATTTTGTCTCCAGGTCTCTTCCTAGAGCCAGTTTGAAAGGCTGGTAAGAGCATGAGGTGAGTGGCTGCCCAAGAGGAAGTGTGTGTCATGGAGTTGGGCAAAAGCTTGACATTCTTCCTAGACTGGCTAGGCCTGGATTCAGGCTACAGAGGGCAGACAAGAAGAGTTGCGGTGATATTCTCCACACGGATGTCCAGGGTTATGCTGATTTGACTCCCCACCATAAGAAAAGGTCAGGAGGCATGGGGAAGTTCAGTGGGGTAGAATCCTTTAGTCCTGGAATATGTACCTTGTCTTGTTGGACATAACACTATTCTGACTCTTTCCCAAAGCAAACATGTCGATGAGCCCTTTGGCAACCACGAGCAGAACCAGGCAGATGGGCATTCCTCTCGAGGTCTTACCTGGTGTGCCCACCAGACCATCAAGTAAGAGAATACAGCAATCCAGGTGATGGAGCCAAAGAACGTGATGGGAAAAAACTTTCTTGACGACTGAAAGAGAACCAGGAAGAGGCAAGAGCATCAGTGCCATCCATGAGGTGGACCTGAGAGACCAAAGCTAAATCCACCAATACTGCTACTCCTCCCCCATTGCCTTCCATCTTTGTAGGTTTAGCAATCAAAAGGCCCTGCCTACCCTCAGTCAAGCTGGGCCAGGAAGATTCCCTCTTGGGAATGTTGGTTGGAGCCAAATCATCACCAAGCTAGTTCCTGAGATGGAAGTCTCTTGAAGAGAATGTCTGTTCCTGTTGTTGGCTGCTCAGATGCCCCCTGTCCTTCCCATGGCCTTGTCTCTCTGTCTTGCCCTCAATCTCTTGAGCACCCCATGGCCTTCCTCCATCTCCTGTTCCCTTCTGCTCAAGTTCATCAGAATCAGTTTCTATTGCTTCACCCCATGTATCCTAGCAGTCCATTGGCCAGAAAACCTAGATGATTAATTGCTTTTAACAAGAAGGATCAATAGGTTCCAAAATAAGTTCATCTTACGGCCCCACAAATTACTGGGAAAAGCCACATAGAAGAAGCCATCACCATAGTTTCTATAGATTCCTGAGGACAGCCGCCTTCCAGGACGTTTGAACCACTGGTGTAGAGTTAGAGCAGACAGAGGCCCAGCACGCTGCTCTCCACAGAGGTGGCAGAGTAGATGATCTTGGGACGTTTTCTCCCCTGTTCTCCACCCCAACTGTATTATGTCCAATTTCTGCTTTGAGCACTGGCCTCCGTGCAATCTCAGGCTTACAGTGTGGAGCACTTTATTTTTTAAAATTCAATTATAATGAACATACAGTGTTATATTAGTTTCAGGTATACGATACAATGTAATGATTCACCAGTTCTATACATTGCTCAGCGTTCAGTGTGAACACATTTAGTTTCTTTCAAACATTAGCCAAAATCAGACACTCCAAATGCAGAGTTTCTTACCTGACCCCACTATAGGGAGATCAGGCTTGCACGGGACTGCAGCGGTGTTTTGTTGATAGCTTTTTTTTTTTTTTTGCAAAATTGGGGCCCTTTAAAACATGCTCAGATAGCAGAATGCCCTCAGCCTTTCACCTATTACTGCCAAACACTTTTTATTTCAAAGCTTTCCACTATGAGAAAAAATCTCATTTTTTGCTTTGATAATGCCATCCAATTTTGTCCAGAGAAGTGAATCCTGGAGTTGACTTGGATGAAAGCTATCTCAATTGTCTAAAGAGCTGACCTTGGGCAGTCACACAGAATGCTTTCTGTCATGGCTTTTGAGAGCTTCATTAAGAGGAAAAGATAAACTTGTACCTAGTAATCTTTTGAATATCTATGGTAATAACAAACATAGTCTTTATCACGCCAAACCAGGCGTATGTTCTCTTTACTAATTTGGGTTTTCAATATATGCTTTTATTATCACTCATACCATTCAGTTATATTTCACAATAACCATTTCTTTCACTTAACGAGTGCTGCCTTTTTTGGGCTATTTGTTAGCCGCAGTATCTACAAGACCCGTGGGCTTGATTAAATTGGGGGAGACATCAGGCCACAGGGAAAAGGAAGAAAATATTTTGGCTAAAGACTCAGGCTCCTCCTGGGGGCCTGAGCACTTTAGTGAGTTATGGAAAAAAAAAGTAATCAATTTTTCAAAGTGGATGTTGAGACATTCACTTCTGAGGGCGAATTCCTTTAAAGCTAAGGATTCAGCTGGATTCTGGAGACCAGATTCCCCAAGTCTTGGAATTGCCAGCACTAAGAAGGCAAGTTTCCCCAGACATGGCATTTAGCTGATTGGAGTCCCCATTCTTTTCCTCTGGTCACAAGTCACTGTTTCAGGATCCTAAGTGGGATGAGCGTTTCATCTCCTATAGCCAGGCTCTGTAGCAGGGAAGGAAAAGGCCTTTCTTGTGATGTGGGGCCCCACATGAGATTGGAGCAGCCACCAGGATGTAATTCTGAGCATCCTGTGAGGGAATAGAGTACCATCTCCATACTTTATGGTATGGTGTATGTACTGGAGATCTTGGGAGAGTCCTCATTTCATAGATTGCTCATTTTACAGCTTAGGTCATTTATTAAATATATAATTAATATTTTATTTATTATGCCTTCGCACATCTGTACATTGATGTAATGTGACAAGTCAGAATAAAATTATTTGAACATATTTCTCATCTGAAGAACATCATCCCTGAACCATGGAACATTCCTAGTCAGAAGGTAGAAACTAAGGAAGCCGACTAAGGATGTAAAGGAACTAAATTCACATCAACATGCTAATGAAAACCTCTTTCAATGATGCTTGTGATTCTTGATCAAGAGGTCAACTAGTAATTAATGGACATCTATGTGTATCTAGTGTTATATATTAGGGGCTCAGTGAAAAGGAATTAAAGATAGTTTTTTTTGTGAGTTTCCAGGTCTTCATCATAAACTAGGGGTAGGTAAAGGCTGGGTACCTACTCTATACCCAAATCTTGAACTAGACCTGAAATTCAAACCTACGTCTGTCTGACTATCCAGCATGTATTCCTGATATTTAGGTTATACTGATTTGTTCTTAGAGAAAAAAAGGGCCAATAATGCTCAAAATATGCCCAGCTACGGACATAATGATGATGATCATTGTAATACTAGCCTGTGCTCTGAATGTCAGAAAATATAAGGAGCATCAGGGAGATAGGGGCTAGTATTCTGGCTGAACAGCCATCTGCCTCACCCAACCTCCCATACTGTTCCTGATTGGGAAGCATCAACCCTTTACGCATCGGCAGTTTAGTTCAATGTTTCCCAACTGTCCAACTACCTTATCCTTTCCAATCTCACAACCCAGGTAATTCCTTCCTCTTTCATTTTTTCTGAACGACTCCCCTTATTTGGACTCTATGGTCTCATTCCAGACGTCGCTGCCCAGTCGCACTTGTGCAATTATTTAGTTACCAGTCTCACTGGAAGGAAGAAAATAGCCCTTGAAGCCAAGGTCTGACATGTCAATTTTTGGTTAGGAATGGAGGCTCATCCTAACATCTGCTGGGATGAACCTCCTACTAATTAGCAAAAAACAAATTGTGTCCATGTGCCGGCCATTTTGTTCCCAATGTAATGGTTTGCGTGTATAATTGACAGCTAATGTTCTCATTAGAAGCTTTTAGTACATCAGCGTGATACTTTCTTGGCTTGAAAAATGTTTCTGGACGTTAGCTGCTTGTACAAATTGGCCATATCCTTACTGATCTAAATTTGACAAATATTCACTGAGCATCTATTCTGTGCAAGGTTTGAGGGGCATATACATCTAACAACAGTCCCCCAAACAATCCTATTAAAGATGAAAAGTGTGTTCTCTGGATGAATATGACCAGTATTGAAATCCCTGCTCACAGATTACCAGTAATGTGACTTAAGACATATCATTTCATCTCCTAAGCCTTAGCTTTTTCATCTGTAAAATGGGGGGGGTGTGTGGTTAACAATATCTGGTTGTTCTGAGGATTTCGGGTCTATGAAGTGTCTACCAAAGTGCCTGGCACATAGTAAGAGCTCAGATAATAGTGATGGTTCTTACTCGATGATGGTCTCCTCGTTTTGGTTTTTAAGAGACAAGGAAACTGAAGTTCAGAGAGGTGCAAGTGGCTGCAGAGACCAGGCTGAGGTTCTTGGCTTTGCCTCTCACTTGCTGGGTGTGCTTGGACAAGTCACTAAACCTCTCTGGGTCTCAATCACTTCTTTCTTGCTAGAACTGTGTGCGGTCCACAGCAGACACAATAAATACTTGGTGAACAAACCAATGACTGGTATAAACTGCAAAAACAGAGCTGACTTCTTAGGTATCTTCCCAGTTTAGATGGTCACGCTGTGATGCATTTAGATGCATTCCTGTTTTGTAAGAGCACCCATCCTCAGTCAGGAGAGAATATAACTTTTGGGGGTCTTTATTTCCTTTATGATTTTCAATGTTTATCAAAGACATGTTCCTTGTTAAGCTTTATATTTTAGTTCTTTTGCTTTGAAACCAAAGCCATTATTTGAAGAAAACGATAAAAGTGAATTAATCTGAGCTGGAAGTGTATATAATCCAACAAACACTGTCATATAATTTGCATATAAATGAAGTGGAAATAAAAACAAGTGGGAGTACTGTTTACTCTGAAACTAGATGGATACTAAAAAATCATGTTTTCCTCATAATTACTGTCAAGGTTCGGAACGTTCATCTCCACGGGTAATTCAAAAACCACTGGGGAAACAGAGTGTCAGGTACTCCGGAGGAGCAAATGCTTATTAATTAATAATTTTCTCCTCTCTTTTTCTTCTCCCTTGATATTTTTTCAGAACGCCCTGGTGGCCGTGCATGAAGGCCGTGGTAGACTGCCAAAATGGCCGCAGCAACTTCCAATTTTTCTTAACAAGAGTCGAGGTCTGTTTCCCCATCCTTTGAATCTGGGCTGGCCTTATGACTTTCTTGGACCAACAGAATACGGTAGAAGTGACAGCATGCAGAATCCAAACCAGATCTCAAGAGGCTTTGCAGCTTTCATTCTTGCTGCCCTTGGAACTTGGCCATCACGTGCCTCAGCTCTGGTTAGCCTACTCAAGCGCCAGGGACCGTGCGGGGCAGAGATTAGCTTTTCCCACTCACATACTCCTATGCCAACAAGCCCTCAGCCAGATCAGTGAGCAGAACTGTCCAGCTGAGCCCAGGACAAACTGTCCTTTCAGAGAATTCTGGACTAAAAAATCCGCTTCCTTTTTTAAGTCACAAAATTTTGGGCTGGTGTGTTACACAGCAAATGATCACTGATACAAGATCAAACCTACTGAAACTCTTCTGTGCTAAGCACAATCAAGAACCCATTTGTTGTCTTTTGTATCAACCGGCATGGTTTCTTTCATTTGGCATTGTGTACATGCAAAGGATGGCCATATAATCCATCTGCCAAACCAGGATGCTTTGGGATTAAATTGGGACTATCCCGGGCAAACTGGGATGTATGGTCCCCTTAAATTTGCAGTGCGGTAGTGGGGGTTATGTCTTTATGCTTTCCTTAATCACAGGGTGTCATGGCCCGCAGGGAATCTGGAGCTCTTCTCTCCCTGTGTTTCACAGAGGAGGAAAAGTGAGGTCCAATGACGAGAAGTGACTTTCTCAAGGTTGCGCAGCTCATGCGTTATGTGGGGGAAAACCCACTGTCGTCAGCATGGTAGAATGAGAACGCTTGTGGAGTCAGGAGGCTCCTGTTCGAATCGAGCTGCTGTCACGGATACAGCTGTGTAGTCTTGCTCTATAGTGATATGCCTTGTTTCTTCTACTAAGTTTAGAGCTCCTTAAAGATAGGAATTGGGAGTTCTGTGTCTTCCAATGTCGGCCACAAGCTTGATGCTTGGCACCTAAGAGGTACTCAATAAATATTTCGCTGAGGAAATTTTAAAACAACCAAACGCTCTGAGAGTCGCATTTTTGCTTGGGAGAGCACACAGTGTATGTAGAAAAAGAGAAAAAAAAAATCCAGTCCGTCCCAGGGATGGCTCTTGGCAGCGCGAAGGGCAAAAGCCTCACTGGCTACCCTGGCCCAGAGGCCGGCTCTCAAGGCTCGTGCACAGTGAACGCCCCAGTCCGTGGTATTACAGAGGAGAGCATCACGTACAGCTGTGTCTTCTTGCTCTGTATCTCTGGGGGCTGTAGAATCAACCAGCACAGCTGTCGTGATCTGGGGAATTATTGCCATGGTGGAGTCCTGTGTGCTGTCCAAGAGTCGCTGGTTCAGAGCTTTGATCTCCCCTAACAGCGTCCTTGTCCTCTGAGCTCAGATCACAGAGATGATCGGCACTCTGCCAGGCCTTACCCCAGGAGTCCCGCCCAACCTGAGAGCCCAGGCCTCGATCGCTGGCCTCTTCCCTCCACTCCTGCACACTTTCCTGACTGTTCCAGTGGCTGTGGGCTGACACCCTCTCAGCCGTCTGTCCGTCAGCCCCTTCTACTCGGGGCCACGCTGCACTAGGCCGGCCGCACGGGTTTAGGAAAGCATGTCTGTCCTCTGATTTTCCTCCCTGGGGCAGAGCAAAAGCACTGGTCTGAATAGCAGAACAACGCAAGGAGAGAGAGAGAAAAAGAGAGAGCGTGTGTGCGACAGCACACGTGAGCACGCACATCTCAGAAACGTCACTGTGATGTGAGCCGTGAAGGAACTTAACACGTTCCAGCTCTTTGGCTGGAGGTTTCCAGGAAGCCAGGCCTTTACACGGAGCAGATGTTCTGCAATTGCGTCGTGAATAAAGTGTTGCTTGAAGTAAGCCACACCTGTTACATGCCCCCCTTTACTGGGAAACCTCTCATGTTGGGAGTCCTTACATGAGGGGGTCCTTTTCTGGCTTGTAGGTGACAAGACATGGCTCTCCACCAGGCTGGATTATTTATAGGCCAGTGGGACAGGATTTCTCTTCTGTCTTCTTCAAGTATGGAAAGTGGGATCACCCGGGGCTCTTAGGACTTTGGCTAAATTTTGCAGTACGTTACCACGGTGTCCTATTGCAAATGCTTTCAGAAATGATGTTCTTGGACTTCTACTTTCTGGTATCATGAAATATGAGGGGGGAGCCCAGGCTGTGTGGTCACACAGACCTGGGTCTTAATCTCCACTCTATCCCCAAGGAAGTGATCAGGCAGGAGTTCGTTAACTTCTCTGTGCCTAAGTTTCTTCCTACTTATGCCAATAATATATAACATTATATATAAGTTATATAAAATGTGTGTGTGTGTGTGTGTGTGTGTGTATACACACACACATTCCTATGTTAGCTGTTTCCTGAGATTCTACAATGTAGCTTATTGGAAATACATGGTACATAGTACATACTGATGCATAGTAGGTACACACCTTTGTTGAATGAGATATGTATGTAGGGCCATAATAAAAAGTACAGCTACTTGTTATCATTGTTCCCTTAGCCTTTGGGGCACTGGCCTAAGAACCCAGTTCAACAGTAGGAGAGATGTTCTTTTGTTTCGATCCCTATTTAGGTTGTATTTTGCTGCTCATAAGATGGTATTGTGTTCAATGCATCTGGTACATACTAACGGTAGAAGAGAATATTGATTATAGTAATGATAACAATACAGGATGGAGAAGATCAGACAGGTAGGCATTTATACTACAAGAATGCATTTCTTTAAATTATTTTTTGAATTGAATGAGTAATGTACACATACACAAATACTCCGTAAAATAAAATGTGAGTTCCCCTCCTGCTTCAAACCTTCAGTTCCTCTTCTCAGAGACCATCACTGTGGTGGTTTGAAAACATGGTTGCCAATTCTTGGACACTCCTTCCATTAAGGGTGTCATAGCCTATATGACGCTGATATATTCTAGATAAATTTTTTGTCTCCTCCCCTTTAATCAAGACAAATTTATGACTGCTTTGTGTCGTGAATAAAGTGTGGCTTGAAGTAACAAGTCTAGTCTAGTCAACTAGACTCTGGTGGAAGTGACTCTCTGTGGCTTCTAGGTCATCAAAGACCATGCAGCTTCTGCTGTGTGCTGTTGGGATACTCATTCTTGGAGCCCTGATTTCTTATCTACGATATCTGACTCTCTTGAGGCCACCACGCTGTGAGGGAACCTGAGTCGCATGGAGGAGCCACATGTAGGCTCTCCCATAGACCATCGCAGGTAAGCCCAGCCTTTGAATCATCTCTGCCCAGGTCCCAGGAACATCAGCGAAGAAGCCTCCAGATGAGTCCATCCCACAGCCAAAGTCTTCCCAGCAGAAGCCTCAGATGTTGTGGAGCAGAGACACGCCATCCCCAGTGTGCCCTATTTGAATTCCTGATCTACGTGATCCACAAGCAGATCAACATGTTTGTTGTTTCCGCACCACTGTTTTGAGGTGGTTTGTTACAGAGATCGGATAACTCGAACCATCACTATTATTGTGCACCTTTCCAGAGAGATCTGAAACATATATAAGTGTACGCATGTTCATATGTCACCCTCCTTTTCCTCTTAAGGCAAAAGGAGGCAGCCTACACATACTGTTATATACCGTGCTTTTCACAAGGAGTCGACTAAACAATGGATCTACTCACCGGTTTGCGGACGTCAGGTAAGGTAATCCAGAGAGGAAACACTATGGGGAAAACAATTAGGAACGTGACTTGCTTGCGGGGGTTGGAAGGCCAGGCCAGGCTGAGAGGCTGGTCCTCCTCATGTTCACCCGTCTCTGTGGTCTGTTGCAGAAAAACAGAGATGAAAGAATAAACAAACAAAAAAGACAACAGTGTACAAGAGCAAGAGCACAAAGCCAGGGAGGGATGCTCGGGTCACCATCAAGGGTTTTCTTGGGTCATCCCAGCAGCTTCATCACATGATTTTTAGGTTTGTCCAAGAACCCCGTCTGTCACAGTCTGAGTCCCAGGGACAAACAAGACACGCGCACCCAGGAGGACTGAGGAACTTCCTTTTCTCTCCCCGAACACTCTTCAGCTTCTCCCTTGAAGGGATCATTCAGCTGGAGTGGGCTACAGCCAAGATCCATGGACTTTTTAAGAGAAACCATTTCCGCAGAGCAAAAGACCCAATGCCCACCTTCTCCTCTTCCCTTCACCTTGAACACAAAGCTACAGGCTTCATTATGGGAATTCTTGGAAAGGCGTTTTTAAAATTAAAAATTAGAAAAAATTAAAATAAATATCTTATTTTTTATTTTTTTAAAATAAATTTATATGTATTTACAACATTGACTTTGAGTGGGCAAAGGCAAGTAACCATAGAAACAATTCAGTAACAATACTCAGCTTCCCTCCCAGGCGCTGGAATAGTCAAGCTCATGGATTATTGTGTGGTTGTGAGTTTTTAACCATGCACAATCATCTTGTTAAATTCTAAACCATTTTAATTCCAGCCGAAGGCTTATTATGCAAACATGTGTCCCATTCTCAGAGAAACAGAGTATGGGGGTCGAGCACGACACAGAGCCCAAAGGGTTATCAACGGCACAGGACCTCAGAGTCTGGGGTGAACTTGAGAGCTTCTGACTTAGAAGCAAGCGGCCAGGGTTTTATGTGCCCCCTGCTGAAGTCAGTGGCTTCTGAGGTCCCAGAGCTAGAAGGGACAGAAGGTAGCTCCAGGCCCAGCAGGTTGACCATTAGCCTGTCAAGATGGGCCCTCCGAGCCTTCAAAACAGCACTGCAGACAGCATCAATCACTCCCTTCCCTGCTTGTTTAGAAATGAAAGTGCAGCAGGAGGATCAAGCATCAGATCTAAAAATATCTACAGGCACTTTTCCATGGATGCTTCCTTTTGAGACCATATAAATAACCCTCGTAGGCTTCGTGAAGCTCCTGGCCCCCTGTGGCTCTTGCTTCCAGCAGTGTGCCCTATTTCCAGCAGCAGCCCTGACACCCCCGCCCCCTGCAGCACACCATCTCCCTAAGAGGTGGCACAGGGGGCGGGCTCCGGCCAGCGGGATGGGAGGAAAGGACTCCACCAGACGCAGGGCTGGGTGTGAGGGCCGATGCACTGTGGTGTTATGTTTATTTATAATTTAAACCCTAGTACTCCCGAAAGGATTTGTAGTGGTTTACACAATCACCCACACTCTCTCTCCAAGAGTGAAAATTAAATAAATATATGTGTAAAAGGAATCTTAAGCCATACTGAAAAAAGTTGGTAATCACAGGTCCTATCTCTCTGGGCATATGTCCTTGGCAGTGGGTAAAAGAGTTCATAAGCAGCAAATATGAGGGAATTAAGAGGATTAGGTAAAAAGGCAGAACTGGGAAGTTGGCACAGTTGTATTTTTTTTTTTTTTGTCATCTGGATCCTCGTTAAATATACTTCTCATGCTCTCCATCTCTTTGTTACGCACCATGTTGGAAAAGAAGAAAGATAAAGACAACAATCTATGTTTCCTCCTTAGGAAACTAGAAAAAGGAGAGCCAATTAAATCCAAAGTAAGTAGAAGAGAATAAATAATAAAAAAAAGTTACAGGAGAAATCAATGAAATTGACAGGGAGGGAGTCAGTAAAGTCAACAAGACCAAAAGCTGATTCCTTTGCTCCCCAATTCGTGTGGTTCTACCCACTGCTTTCTTTTCTCCATCCTGAGGGCTCCACTCCCTGATGCAATCTTGGGTGTACTTTCTCTGGCTTCTCTTCTGAGACAACACCACGTCCTCCCAGGAGATACAGCAGCCGTAGGGCCCACATGAATAATCTCTCTGTAATGAGGCCAATGAGGATTTAGGAGACAGGTGCATTTTAACTGCTCCCTCCCAGACGTGATCTTTCTTGTTGAACCCAAATGATTGACTCCCCCGCCACCCCCCCATCGATGCCTCAGAAATGGGGAGGAATCATGGGATAGTTGAAGCATTGCATCATTCCTAATAAGTACCTCATCTCACACCAGATGGGTGGTTTGATTCAGGCAGAGGATTCCAGCACTTCTCTGAAGACTCCTCGAGCTGATCTGACAAGTTCATCGAGGCTCCTCCCCTTTCCAGGATTGACACTCCCCCCCCCGCCCCCCCGCCCCGGGCCCATCTCACACTGCCATCTGCAATCTAGCAACTTCCCTCTAAACCCTAAGCTAACCTTTTTCTGAGAAAAAACAAAAGCAACTCTTTATGACTCATATCATTTTAATGACACCAACAGATGGTGACATTTCATCAATAACCCTTCTGCTTATAACCTACGGATTAGCTCCTTTCTCCATCTGCCGAAGTTACCAGGCAGGCAGTGCCACTAGCAAATAGCAGAAAATAATTGTCTGTTTAGATGCATAAGCTCTAAACATACTACTGTCCAGTGCAAACAATTAGCTATATTGTACAGCTGCCAAAAGCGACGTTTGAGGTGGCGTTGCTAGGGCAGAAGTGGGCAAGGGGAAGAGCTTGGGCTCGGGCCATACAAACAGTGCTCTTCAGGCAGAATCCCAGCCCTTTGGGGAAGAGTCCTGCCACCAAGTACAGGAGCCCAGAAGCTTGGGGTGGATTTGAAAGCTGTCCTAGAAGCAAGGCTGTCAGCATATTTGGGGGGAAATTTTCATTGTCTTCTTGCCAAGTGCAATAGCACTCTGGTTCAATGGGCAACAGCTTGCAAGCTGGTCAGAAAAGTGGGAAAAAATATACCATTCAAAGTCTGGAGCCCGTTTTGCCTTTGCCCAAGCTGGGGCTGCTAGCATGTTCACTGGCCTCAGCCCTGGTGAGAGGCCACTGAGGTTACTGCACTGATTTTTCAATTTTTCCTAGAGTTGTGGCATCTTGGCTTTGACCTTGTAGCAATCCTTCCTAGCCTCCTAAAGCTTCTGTGGCGTGTCCGCAGAAAACAAAGCAATGAAAAATGATCTGGAAAAAAATTCAAATGACTTTTGATAGAAGGGTTTAAAATAGTTTGATGTCTGCTGGGGTCTCTGTAGAAGCCCTAGAATTGTGTGAAACCAGGGCCAGCAATCACTGCCTCAAGGCTTTATAATTTCTGATATGGGAAATCTGAGACTAAACCACATGACTTCAAGTTCCCACAGAATGTGCGCTGGTTGTCGGAGCACAAAGGGATCAGGGCAGTGTGGTACGAAGAGGGGATGCTGGAGAATCAGGAGTGCTGGCTTCCGGGCTCTGCTCCTGCTGTGATTTCTTGGGCAGGGACCACCATCATGTGCAGGTATTCATTGAGTGCCTTTTGGCATGAACTAGTGCACTAGGTTCTAACTCTTGGTTCCAAGGGAACTTGGATTTAAAACAGGAGACAGAACAAATGGCCCCTAGGTGGCTCAGTCGGTGAAGCATCTGCCTTTGGCTCAGGTCCTGGTATCAGCGTCCTGAGATCGAGCCCCGAGTCGGGCACCCGGCTCAGGGGTGCTGGCAGAACACATGGCAAGAGCTTCTGATTCTGCCTGTGCCCTCCCCTAATTCCTCTGCCAAAACCCTGACCCCAATACCTCAGAATGTGACTGGATTTGGGGAGAGGGCCCTTCAGATAAAATGAGGCCATTGGGGTGGGTCCTTGTAAGGTGTCCTTATAAGAGATTAGGACACACAGAGATACACCAAGGGTGTGCGTGCACAGAGGAAAAGGCTATGTGAGGCCACCATGAAAAGACAGCCATCTGCAAGTCAAGGAGAGAGCCCTCAGTAGAAAACAACACCGCTAGCACCTTGATCTTGGCCTTCCAGCCTCCAAACTGTGAGGAATCATGTCTGTTGTTTAAGCCATTCAGTCTGGTATTGTTAGAACAGCCCTAGCAAACTAATATAGTGCCTAGCTGCATGGTGGATAGAAAGCCCACTTTCATCGAGGCCCAGAATAAAGACTCTGTTTTCAGCCTCCCTTGCAATGAGGTGTGGCCCTATGAGGTTTGGGCCGGTGGGAGGTAGCCAGAAAAATCCTCTGCAGCTTCGGGATGTATCTTTAAAGGATGGAAGTGTGTCCTTCATCTCTCCTTCCTCCTTCCTGCTGGCTGGAATGGGAACATTTGGGAGAAAAACTATAAAAGGATCTGCGTTCCTGACACCCCATCAAGAGCTGTTCTAGTCCTGAGCCACCTATACTGACTTGAGAGAAATAGAAAATTCTGTCTTACTCAAGCCACTTGAGTTAGTTAGTTGTTAACTTTGGGTTTTGGTTGCTCCCAGCGGAACCTGACCCGGACTAATCCAGTGTCCTCTTTATGAGGAATCAAGGGGGAATCACATCTCAGCACTGGGAAAAGTCATGCTTCCTTTCAGAAACTTTGAAAAATCTTAGAAATACTGTGACTCAGGTAAATGATACTATTTTTTCCCCTTCCTGGGAAACTCAGAGCCAAATTTGTAACCTCCACCCACCGATCACAGCCCTGGGGTCTGTCTCGCTTCCTCCAGTCCCACGCTTTCCTCTTCCTTTACATCTTGTGCTGAATTTTCTCAAAAGTCTTCATTTTATCCTTTTTTCCTCAGACATCTTTTTACAAGCAGCCTCGAATCCTTGTAAAACAAGGTAGGGCAGACTCAAAACTGTAACTCATCAGGGGCTGAACGGAATTATTTGGATAACTGTGTGTGTGTGTGTGTGTGTGTGTGTGTGTGTGTGTGTGTGTGTGAGGGAGAGAGAAAGAAAGAGTGTTACCCTAAGTGACAACTGGACAATCACCTTCTAGGATTCATTTATCAAGACTGAAGGTGGGACCCTGGAGGTCCGGCCATCAGAACACTTACAGATAGAAGAGAACAGTTC